GCACTGCAGTGGCCGGCGTTCCATCTGCCATCGCACTTGACAACGGGAACGGGGGCTTCACCGCAAAAGTCCTCCTCCCGGGGCCTGACTCTGTACCTCACTGGGGGAGGGAGGGGGGGGGGGCACTACAGCAGATACAAGTTGTGAAGGGTGCCACCGCCAGCAGGGCGCAGTAGGTGCAGACAGCACCGCGGACAGGCTGGTGTTAGTCACCAAATAAATAAAACAGAACACTTCACAATTTGTTATTTTGTAAAACAAAAACAAAAAGGGTGGTGAAAGTAAAAGGTGGGAAGCCAGGAAAATTGTTGCGTGGGGTGAGTATAGTGAGGAACTTGTGCAAGGCGAGGTGGTGGTGGTGGTATAGTGTGTGTGCAAGCGCGCGCGCAGACACAAACAAAACACACACGCACGTGCATGCATACACGTGCCCGGGCGCGCCAAACGAAAAAATAAAAAAGAAGTAAAAAAAAAAAACGACAACGGATCATTGCGCCCTGTAATTACGGCACCCGTGTAATTACACGGCATTTAATGGCGCTCACGAGGAGGAGGAAGCGACCCGCCAGGTGCGGCGTAAGGACGGCCGACCTACCCCTCACCACTGCCGATGACAACCAACAAAACAAAACACAAAACAAAAAGAATACAATACTTCAGGACCGAAAAATGCGCAAAGATGTATCCACGCGCTTTGCCCTCTAAGCAACCCTCTCGCGTCTCCAAGTTGAGCCGAGTTGGGAGCCACTTCCGTGTCCGGCCCGCGCGGCAGGCCCTGCGCCGCCCCGCCGCCCGTTGGGTCGCCTACCCTCCCGGCGGCGGCACGTCGACGACCTGGCCGGCCCCCTTTTTCTGCTCCAACCGTTTAATTACGACGACGAGCAAGAGCGGCACGGCGGCCGCGGGTTAGCCGGAATCAAGCTTTCCGCCAAATTACCGCCGTCAAAGTTGCTCCATTCTGGGCCCCGGCCGGGGCGCGGCGCGGCCGGCGGAGTCGCGTGGGCGAGGCGCCGAACCGCGCGGGCCTCACCAGCAGGACGACGACGACGGGGCCCTTGCCCTGATGATCGCACTCGCAGGGCACCTCACCTGGGCGGAGGGCACATGACCGCCATCCGCTGTGCGCATGCTTCAAAAGGACCTCTGTATGGCGACTGCAGTTTGAACTGCCCGCGTCGCCGTGACCTGGCCATTCCCCTGGCCTGGCAGCCGCGCCCCGCCCCGCCCCCAGTCCTAATCGGTCAGGCCGCCCCGCTGTTCATCCGCTCGAGTTCACCCGGCGAGAGGGCGGCGCCGCGCCGGGCGGCGGCGCGAGCGAACGAGCGAGCGAACGGTTATCAGAAAGGTAAAGGGAGCGCGAAAAGGGAGGAAAAGAGCGAGAGAGCGGACGGTGGTGGCGGCGCCGGCGGCGCGGGGGATTAAAAGGGCCGAGGGCTCTCGTCTCCTTCCGTGTGAGCTGGCTGTGTTTTACTTTGAGACGTTTGATCACCGCTGGCGCGCCTGCCGCCGCCACCACCGCCGCCGAGCTGAGGTTCGGTCGTCGCCATTGATTTGGTTTGGGGCCCAGCGGTCCGTGCTGGACTAGGCGGGAGCCGTGTGGCCCCTTTGACCTTTTCTCTCTCCCTCCCCTTTGAGCCCCTCTCGCTTTCATTTTGTTTTTCTCTCACCCTCGCCCCCGCCCCCGCCGCAGCTGCCGCCGCGCACCACTCGATGGCGCGGCAGTCCCTCTTTCAGCGGCGGCGAGCAATTGGAGGTGTTGGAGCAAATCACTCCCCCGTTTGGCGGGCGGCGGAGCGGACCAGAGCCACACCTTTGCGCCCCGTCCCCGCGCCGCCCCCGCGGCGGTCGCGGGTGACGCGCACCGTGCTTTTCCCGTGCTGAGCTGAGCATCAGAATCTCAGCCGGCCGGAGCTCACTCTCCACATCGGGCTGGTCTCAACACGCCCGGTCACGAATGCGTTGGACAAGGACGAAGGACGGCCGACTCCGGGACGGCACGCCCACCGCCGCCGCACATCGGTGCTAGTACAGACACACAGTAGAGATGTCGTGTGATCATTCCCCGCTACCCCCTTCTTCGCCCCCCGCCGCCGGCCGCCACCCGTCCCCAACTTTTGCCGACTAGTCGCGAGTTGATGGGTGTATCTGGCGGGGTGGTCAGCCCCCCGCGCTGTAGTGGTAGTGGCGACCCGCGTCACGCCGCCCCGAGCGAGCGCACGACGCCCTTCTCTCTGCCCCTCCCTACCTCCCTCTCTCTCCCTTTCTCGCTCGCTCCCTACGGGCGGAGCAACGAGTGCGACAGAGACAGCTTCACTTCGCGCTCACTCTTACACCCGCGCCCGCGCCGCCCTTTGTCGCCGCGGTCGCCTATACACAAAGCTCTATGAAATTAAATGCTACACGCAGATGTGGTCTTTTATCAGGAATTTAAGTTGTCACGACGCGGGGCGGAGGGTAGTGGAAAGGGGGAGGGTGTAGCAGAGAATGCCGTGTGGTTCTGAAGCTTTGTACGAATCTGACAAATGGACGAATGCAACAATCGCGTCATTCAGGGTGGCTTCTTAGTGAGCAAACAGTTTCTGTGAAGAAAGATCTTTTAAGTAACCGTAAAGGTTTGCGTTTCGGGCCGCACTGCGTGAGGTGTCGGGTATATCGTCGAACGTCAACTACATACATCATAACCTCTAATTCTCTGATGGCACAGTTTTGGGCGGATTCATACGATTCACTTCACACGTTATGGCTTTATCTCGATTAAAAATAAAAAATAGACAAACTTGTTTTGGAACCTGAACCCCAGACCAAATTCAACATAACCCTAAAGCTTCCGTCGCTATACAAAATTGAAAAATCGTCAACGTCACAACATAAAGAACATTTGGGTCAAATCGATGACTTTACTGACTAGACTGGGTGTACAACACCTGTAACTCACCTTCATCGAACGCCGAGAAGAACTTTATCTCGTGAGCTTCTCGGTCGGCTCAGAAGGCAGCCTAACCTCTCCAGCTGCGGTCGAGGTTGGCGCATACAAGTCGATGAGCACTTCGCGAAATATCAAAATCAATATATACAGCACAATAAATCAAAATTAAATTGCGGATGCAACGACGTTTGAAAGGAACGCACAGAAACGGACACGCACAGACACGCACACGCACACGTACGACGGATCGGCGGCGGCGGCGGCAGCAACCGGCGACACGGAACGGAACCACGAAACTGGGCCTGTCGCTGCCTGGCCAGATACCGACGGCGGCCATCAGTAGCGGCGGCGGCGTCAGCGGCGCGGGTGTTTGAAAAGCATCCAACACAACTCAGTTTTGTCGATGATTGGCGAGGAATTAGAAGGGGGCGGGGCACGTTACTAGTGATGAATAGTTTTTTCATTACAATCTCGGTGTAGTTAGATTGTCCGGCCTACTTTTCCCCGACCAGGTAATTGTCCCAAAATCCCCAAAAGTGCTGTCCCACCTCGGTTTTGTCCTACTTATCTTTCTCCGACCTCGTCGATATGCTGAAATTGGGGAAGAATGTGCTTCAAAGAGGAACAGGCTTCAAAAGTAAAA